TTTAAAGTATTCTGATTTGTAATTTGTAGTTCTATCCCCTCCTCCACTGGGCACTGGCTTGTGTATCTAACAGGCATTCCACTTTGATTTCTCATAGGCAGGTTAACYCTCAGGGTTCACAGATAAACTATCAGAGGCTCAGGTAAGTATAAATTTCAGATAAACAATATAAATAATGCTTGAGCGTCAGCCCCATGTAATATTTGGCATACATTTATACTAAAACCTTTTTCATTGTTTATGTGAAATTTCAATATAACTTAGAATCTGGTATTTCCATTTGTGAAGTTTGTCAAGCTTAGCTAAACTTAAAATGCCTAAAATGGAACTTTTGATTTTTCCTTCTCTCATTCTTCAAACAGTCTCTTCCCTGTTTCCTATCTTCCTAATTTTACTAAATAATACTATTCTTCACCCAGTTCTCCATACTATAAACTTCAGGGAATCAAACTTGATTTTTCTTTTCTTTCTTACCTCCTACATCAAATTCGTCAGCAAGTTTTGTCAGTTCTATCTTCAAGTGTACCTCAAATTTAGCCACTCTTCCCTGTTCATATTGCTGCCACTGCCCCCACCAAGACTAATTCAGTGGCTTACCATTTCCCCTATTTTTATGCCTGTCCCTTACTAATATATTCTATACAGAGAAGTTTGAGAAACTGGTTTAATAATCAATAAAAAGGACCATCAACGGGATCCAATAAACGAAATCATCTATTTTCCTGGCTCAAATCTTCAGTAGCTTCCAAATGCAATTCTAATAAAATGAAACTCTTTACTATGGCTTTAGAATAACTGAATAACTGGCTCCTAACTACCTCTCCAAATTCATTCCTAGCCAATCTCCCACTCTTCATGTATTCTATCCATGATGGCTTCTAGAATTCTCCAAGCTTCTTCACACTTTGGCACCATYAGAGATGTGGCTTTCCCTTTCTGGAACACTAGTCTCCCACCACTATTATTCTCTCTCCCCAACCTGGTTATCCTTGAGAGCTCAGATTAAATTTTGTCACCTCAGAGAAGTCCTTGGAAAAAAMCACACCTGAATAAATTTCCTCTTTCTCTATTGTTCTCTCTARTTCTACTGTGCTTTCTCTACTTTCATTACTTTCCTACATAGCACTTACCGCTATATACATAAGTGGTAAGATATATGTAGATCTATCTATACACACACATATATAAATGTATGTATATAAATATGTGTGTGTATTCACATTTCCTTATTAGACTGTGAACTTCTCATTCGCAAGCCAGTATCCTTTTTGAAAATCTGCTAAATAATAATGAACAAATGGTTAATGAAGACATGAATTGGTAATTGTGCAAAGTCCTTTGCTTACATAATATTTGATGGACTTAAAAAATTAACATGCTAGGAATTTAGAAAAAAAACACCAATTATTTCTCCCTCATAATATTTTTAAAATAGCAGGCAAATTACTATAACTAGTCCATTAATTTTTAAAAGCTATTTTTAACCTACTTAATAAATAACTGGCTTTATAAATAAACATAAGTAAATGCAAGTGCCTCAAGAGAACCTGGTAATTGAGGTCTGGTAATCATTAAGTATTTTATATCTCTGAAGGCATATATAAATATGTTACAGTCACTTTAGATGCTCTTCATAATTCATAATTAGCATTGCTGCCACCAGATGGAGTAGAAGGTTATTTAAATGATGCTTCTTAGGCAGCATACAAAGAAAGAGATTTCTTCTGATATTTTTTCTACTCTTCTTCTTACCATATTTACCCTTACCACCACTCTGACATTCAGATACTTACACACACACACACACACACACACACACACAATTATTATATAATTTGTTCCTTGGGTTAAGGGATTAAGAATGCCATTAAATTCAAAAGTGTGCAGAACAGAAATAAGCAGAGCCAATGAACTTACAAAGTCATAAGCTGGGAGTGTGGAAGAACTTAATTTATTTATTTTATTAGTGAGTATATTATAAATGAATTAGGACATTTAAGGGTTTTTTAGTTATTTATATATAACTTTTATTTTTTCAACTTAGTTGTACATGACAGCAGAATGCATTTTAATTCATTGTACACAAATGGAATGCAACATTTCAATTCTCTGGGCATACTCAGTATAGCTATGCACCAATTGTGCAATCATACATGTACCTAGGGTAATGATGTCCATCTCAGTTAAGTTTTGATGAGGCAGAATATAGAGAAAGAAGGAATTAATGCCCATCTACAGTTTACATTACTATAATGGGGCAGGGTTGGCTGGGTCTATTTGCTTTAAAATATAAGATCAAATGGCACTATAACATATGAGAACATAGTACAGCACAGTAGCTAAAAGATATAATAAGTTGTAAAGTAAAACAGATCTGAGTGCCAATTCTAACTTCCCCAAGTAACATCGACCAGTTTCTTAAGATAATATGTTTTGATTTATTTAAATGTAAAGTGAGGATAATACCCAACTTAAATGGTGGCCATAAGAATTCTATAACTTCAAAGTCATTCAATATCACATGATACTATTTCATTTTGATCAAAGCCTGATATATTCTTCTTTATTGCCTGTCATCACTAGCCCCACATTGCAATAGAAACTCCTTAAGGGTCCAGCCCTTGTTTATCCTGTTAATTTTTGTATACCAAATATAGATAATTCTTCTAAGCACTTAGTAAATACTCAGAAAATGATGAATGGGAAGAAGATATGAAGGAAGGTAGGCAGAAAGAGATGTAGGGGAAAGAATAAGAAAAGGGAAGGGTAATATATTCTTACTAGTTTGAATCTCTAGAAATTTCACAGAAATGGTTTATAAGGATATCTATTCTAATAATAGCTCTGTTTGGTCAATAACTTGCCATTTCACATGAAGGTTCAGGGATATTCAAATTATTAATAACTTTGGCAATGTTAACATAAACAAAGATTAAGACTTGGTTTTTCCAGAATTTTCTATCATAAGTTTCTTTTTTTAATATTTATTTTTCAGTTTAAGGTGGACACAATATCTTTATTTCATTTTTATGTGGTACTGAGAATCGAACCCAGTGCCTCATGCACACCAGGTGAGTGTGCTACCACTTGAGCCACATCCCCAGTCCCACAGGTTTCTAATATTCAATATAAAATTCTATCTATTTTGTATCACTGATTCATTTAGCACAAGTCATTAATGATTAAAATAAACTAATATTCACAAAGAATTGTGTTTTATACACTATGTAAATGAATTGATTATGTCAGAGATATTTCAGAGCAGTTCAATAAATATATCTGCTCTGCCACCAATTGTTAAACAATTTCATCTAGAATAGAGTATTTATATATTTCCTAATTTCATTTGCCTACTCTTTCATTATATATACAATTTAATAAGGTCTGTTGCAAAAGAAAAAACACATATTAGTTAAATGAAGAGCAACTTGCCTATTTGCACTTTCTTGCTGACTCAAAGCTACATTTTAATTTGTGCTGCATGCTGCTGTTAATGAAACTGTCTATTTAAAATAACTATTGAAGTCTATAACATTAACATAATGGATATATTCTCCTAGAATCTTAACAGAGCCTTTTTTAAAAAAGTTAACTTGAGACTTTGTAACAGAAACCATTCTTAGAAGGTTGTTTTCTTTTTAAAATTTCTAACTGGAACACTTTATAATTTTTATAAATTCTATAATCTAAACCAATATGTACAACTTTGCCAACGTGAAAAAGTCATTTGAGGGCTGGGATTGTGGCTCAGCAGTAGAGTGCTCACCTAGCACAACTCGGGTTCGATTCTTGGCACCACATAAAAGTAAAAGGCATTGTACTGTGTCCATCTACAAAAAAGATTCATATATTCATATTTTCTCTCTCTTTCTGTTTAAAAAAATGTCATTTGAGCTCAGAAAAGACTGAAACTTCAAGCTTAATTTTCTTCCTAATAGCTCCAATAACTTTGTATTATCACCAGAACCACAAATTCTAACACAATACTGGCTACATATAATCTGTTGGGTGACCGTTGAGGAAAGATCTCCAGAAACCTCTACCTTGAATATTTTATTATTTCATTCACCCCTAACTGAGAAGCATACAATGCTTCTACTACTCTGATGTCTCAGAACAGAACCAAAGCAAGTCACTTGAATATGTACTTAAAAATTATATTGGCAATTATTTGTATGATTCATGCATTCCAAGGAATTAACAAAATTAATATTAGAAAAGTTGAACAATAACCTTCTATCAAATTTGATTGTCTTAATATAATCAAAGTATAAATATGTTCTAAAATACTAAGATATGTGAGTGTGTATTTTAAAAAATTATTTCAAAACATGTTAATGATAATCATTTTAATGTTTTGTTTTGAATTGAAATTATTGAACATAGACTATATATTCTGAAAACAAACACAAAGAAATGAAATTGTTTGTATATCAAATAAATAAAATAATGTTACTGAAGAATAAAAAAAAAAACTAAGTTCTTCCCAGGATCACTGTTATCCTACAAACCAAATACAAGGTCATGAATGAATTTTTCAGAGTATAATGTGTTCAAAAATTGTTGAGTCCTTTACTATCTTAAAAAATGACTAAGAGAAATAAAAGAAATATTTAAAAAATTACACRTCCTCTATATATGAAAAAAACTAACAATACATTGAATATAGATAAAACAAGTTCCCATCAAGAACAAACAGAGATGTAAAGGAGAATGCTTCAATGCAATGAAGCACTAGAGCCGCATGCTAAATGTTGGTGCTGGGAGCAGGAGGATGGGATGTCAATAAACAAAATGTTAAAGTATCATGTTATTAACCATTATTTTTCTTTGGAAGGTAAAGAATATACTTTTCATGCTCTAATTTAATCCTATTATAGAAACATTTTTCTGCTTAGCAGAGAAGTAACTGAGATTGGAAATTCAATTTGCAAAAAAAAAAAAAAGAGAAGTAACTTTGTACAAAGAAGGAAGATCATAACCAGGGTACCTGGGTTTACCTTTGCTTTGCGAAAGTGGTAGACCACCATCATGCTGATGAAGTCAAGSAGCATACACAGGGCTTGGAAGGAGATGATAGCAAGTCTCAAATACTTATCCTCCTGGACAAAGCATGGGCTGTCATCAGCACAGTAGGGGCAGCCCTCTCTGCAGGGTAAGCAGACATGGGCTTCTTCTGATACATCTTTTGTACTTCCTGAAAAATGATGATCTGGACCCCTTCCTGAAAGTTCCAAATAAAACCACAGTGTTATTTGCACCTCTGAGGTAGGTGAGACAGAGTACAATGTCAAAACACATCTTTGCCTCTTTATTCCTGTTACCATTTATTATAGACCTTTTGTCAACTCTCCTGCTAGGAGAGAAACTTACTTTGCTTTTGAACTCAAAATTCTTTTGATCCATTTGATTTTAAAATTGTCATTCAGAGCAATTGAGAAAAATTAGCAAAAATGGGAACAAAACTCCTTGAGAGCAGAGAACTAAGTCTCTTATATCATCATCTACCACTCACCACATGATGATACTCCTTAAAGCACAAATTATATTCTATATATATTCATGAAATAATTAACTAGAAGAATGACAAGAAAGTTGATGTATTTTATATGCCAAATAAATATACTTAGCACTTTTTAAACTTTTTGACCTAGATGGCACAGAATCCAAATGAGGTTTTGATTGCATCTTAATTTGTCAGGGATCTAATCTACCAAGTTCATTAGGTCTAAATTGGATAAAATTGTACTTAAACAACAGTTGTTCAATGTGCAATTGCCTAATGATGGTTCATCCTTTGGGCAGAGTACAATTCATACTTAAAAACTATCATGTAATTTCCCACTTCCATAGGATATTTCCATGCTATGCACTAAGTGCAGCTTTTGAGCCTCCATTTAATTTTAGATTATTTGTAAGTTACTAAACGTAAGTTAACTCTGAAGGCCATTACCTAAAGGTTATCTTTAATTACTGAATTGACTTTAGCACCAACAAATGTCCAACTAATAACACATACTAAAATACTCAACTATTTCCAACTATGAATTCAACATAAGAGATGTTAGTGAACATGTACATAGTCTAGTATATAATACAACTCTGTTTACTTAGGAATTTGGGAATGATGTTCTTCTGGTTAAGCATGTTATGATAACAAAGTTTAACAGAAAGCTTTTATTTCTTTAAAWCTTACCTTTTTATTTTTTTGAGGGGGAAAGATATTAGAGATTGAACCCAGAATGATTAAACACTGAACCACATACCCAACCCCTTTTTACATTTTATTTTCAGACAAGATTTCACTAAGTTGTTTGGGACCTCGCTAAATTGCTGAGGCTGGCTTTGAACTTGTGATACTTCTGCCTCAGCCTCCCAAGTCACTGGGATTAAAGGCTACCATTCTTGGTCTATTTCTTTAAATTCTTGTTAAAGAAATCTTTCTAAAATGTATTTGCCTATTTTTGATCAGTAAATGCAGTAAAAAATAAAAGTATAGTTGAATATTTCTTTGATGATTCAGGATATATTACTATTTAAGGCTCACTACTCTGTTACACAGTGAAAAGTCTAGGATTTTAGTGTCAAGAAGACATGGTTCCCATCCTTAGATAGCTCTGACATTAAACAACTCACTGGGTCACTTTGAATCTTAGTTTGCTTATTAATGAAATATTAATTACTATGGAGATTAAATGAGATGATTTATGTAAATTGTAACGACTGGCTTTTTAGCCTCTTCTCTAGACAAGGTAGATACAAAGAGGAATTGGGAATTCAGCAATATCTTAAAGAAAGCTATTATTCAGAAAACAAGGAAAGCAGAAGAAAGAAGTAAGGTGTGGAAGGCTGAATGAGTATGCTAAGTTCCATTTCAGACAAATTAAATTTAAGGTCCAACTCACAGTCTAGTAGAAATAATACAAAAAATGAGAAATAATTCAAGACTGGATTGTATGAACYGGATCAGTGACATAGAAAGAGCCTACAGAAAGATCCAAGAGTGAATGAGATAATGGTTGGGGAATGTGAAGAGGAGGACACTTGAAATAGAAGTATTTACAATGTCAACACAGAAAACTGAGACTTACTGGATAATGTTGGAATGCAATCAAATATGATGACTGGGAAAAGGCTATTAGAGAGTTAAGGATCTTMTCCTTTGTTGATCTTTAAGATGGTACATTCCAAAGACTAGTAGAGATTGTAATTTAATTTTCAGGGTTTAAAGACTGAATAAGTAATAAGATAGACTATTATTTCAATAAATGGTCAACTGAATGAAAAAAAAAATAAGAAAAGCTTGTGGTTAATAGGAATAAAGATGGTATAAAAATAAAATTTAGCTTTTTTTTCTAACAAGTGAAATTTGAATACAATGGTAGTCAGCAAAAGAAACCATGACAAAGTTGAGGACAGATATGATATGGGAAGACTACAAAGGAAGAACATGAGATATTAAGATTGAACATAATCAAGAATACAATTKGAGAAATTAACTCAAATACTTTATCTCTTTTAAAACTGGAGAGTAGAGGTAAATTCATGATTTTCAGAAGTTTTTCTTTATTTTTTAAACTTTTATGCTTTCTACAGTGAGTAGGAATTGGTTAGCAGACTATTTTGAAGTATAGAAAAAATGTGGAAGTCATTCTTATAAAGTCTTATATTTCTCAACAGAGCATGTAAGAATGTATTGAGAGTGAGGAAGACCAGTTTTTAGGTTGAAGACATGAAAGTCTCAGGTAGCAATATAAGGTTACTTGTTGGATAACTTGACAGGTAAAGAATCCAGTTAGGGTAAGAAGGTCTGACTTATAAGGAAACTTCRTCAAGATAGTTATTGTAATTTACACAATGATAAGTAGCATCGAAACAAATGGAAAGTATAGAATCAACTGAAGAAAGAATAWAGAAGGCTGAACAATGACACTGTACTAGGATTATTCTCATGTAACTGAGAAAAAAGTGCTCAAAAGTATGAGTAAAAAAGAGAAGGGAAATCCAACACAAGGCTATTGGAGYTGCAACCTTCACCCTCCTGGGTCAGCTGGTGCTCAAACCTCCAGAAGCCTTCTGAATCTGAGACATTCATTGGGATGAAGTRGACAATAGTTCTCTACTATCAACCTTGCTCATTAATTATGGATCCTGGAGTCATTAACTGCCCCCTCATTTCTAGTATATGCTCTCAWGAGTCCAGAGTACCTTCCCGCATCCTATACCATGACTTCAGAAGTGCCCCACAGCTGAAAACGAGAAGCATGCTTTGGGGTTCCAGTCTGAGAAAAGGCACAAACAAGTGCATTTAAAGTCATTCAAAAGTAAAGTAAAGGCATTCAAAACATTCAGGAAATGGTCATAGCAATGGTTAGAGTTAAAAGGAGGGCCAAACAAGATTCGAAGTGATGAAAAGCAAGTATCTAATGCTGGTACAAACTTGAGGAATAACAGGAAACACACACACCTCTCAGGAGGTACTGAGAAAACATTGAGTTAACTTTGGTACCCACTGTATAACTGTGGAGGTGAATACAGAGATTACTGTGCTGAACAAGACAGAGTGGTACTGGATTCACCCACTGAGTATCAGGAGGTACAGAGCAACAATCAAAGTCAGAGATTAGGAGATGATAAAGTATGAACTCTGAGATGCAGATTTAGGAGGCAGAGGTTGGGATTTCCTCTTCTGGCTAAAATGAAAAAAAATGGAGATTAAATTTACCTTCCCATCAGAAACCACCAAAACCTATGGACAGAATATTGAAATATGATGGCTTTTTCAGACACTGGACATCAGTAATAAAAGACAATGATTCCTAATGTGCAAACACACCTCACAAGCCAGCTACCATAAGTGAAATCAGAAAAAGTTAAATTATTAAAGAAAAAGTATCTATGAAAGCTATTGTTTGTTTTGTGCAAGAAACTTTCTTAATCCAATCTTCAGTTTCTTTCTTCAGCTAACTAGAATAATATTTTCTCTTTGACTTAAGAACCTCATGGTTACATTCAAGCCAAACATTGTATACTATTGACTTTCATTATAAATGAAACTGGAACTTAACCTAAGTGGAAAACTCCCAGATGGGATAAGGAGAAACCATTTAGTACCTTAACTCACTCAAACCTGAAAATTAGAGCAGGACATTAACTGATTAGCATATTTGAATTATTAGTTTTATAGCATGACTATGGTATATTATCATAATTTCATAGCTACTTATGACCAGTCCTTCATCTGTAAAACTTTGTTATCATTTTTAGCCATTGAAAATTTGAAAGTTCCTTTTGGTTCAGTACCATATTTGTGTTCTATTTCCAATAAATCTAAAAACATCTAATCTTCCCCAACCTTTTCATAATCATTATTTTATTTTCCCCCAATTTCCTATCTYTGTTATTCTGCTGTACCATATACATTTTCATAAGGCTCTCCAAAACATTTTTTGGAAGAGGTAGGATATTAAATAGTACCATAAACTGTACAGTATTTGATAAAACAAAAATTCTTACTCAACAATTTTTTGAATGCCCGATTGATTATGTGTAAGGCAATGGTTTAGTGAGCTAGATCAATGAGCAAAGAAAATTCTCTGCTTATATGGAATCTGTTTTAGTAGGAAAAAAGAACAGACACATGACAGTAGTCCATAAAAAATAGGCAAAAAAGATCATATGTCAAAACTCAGAAGTGTCAGAAGGAAAAAAAGGTGAGGTGAATCAAACATGCTGGCAGTCGGAGTCACAATTTTGAAAAAAGTTGGTAAGGTAGGTTCCATTCTAAAAGTGATATTTAGGCAAAGATTTGAAGAAAACAATGAAGTTAGCCACATTGTCTTGTAAGTGAAGAGAATCACAGCAAAGGAGTACATGATAAATTGAGGTGGGAGCACCCCTGGCATGTGAAAGGATGTGCAGAGACTAGTGGAGTAAAAGCAGAGTGCATGTCTGGTAGGGTAGTAGAAAATAAGGTCAGAGAAATAACAGAACCAGATTGTTCAGTGCACTGTGAACCACGTAGGAACTTAGATTCTGCTTTCTGTTAAAAAAAAAAAAAGAGCTACAGCAGGATTTTGGGTAGAGAAGTAACATGATATGCTTTATGTTGTTTAAGGATTTCTTTGGTTGTATAGAGAATATACTACAGAGGACAAGGTAGAAGCATTAAGCTTCAAAAACTTGATGATGGTTCAGACCACAGTGTAGCAGTAAAAACAAAAA